ATGATTATGCATCGATCTATTGAGTAACTCTCTGTGAGTTATAAGCCAATGGTTAAATATTGTATTTCTGAAATTGAAATGATTACCATGGATGAAATCGACAAGCATTATCAATTTATCTGCATAGCATTTCTGACAGTATTTCTGGTAACATTATAATTATTAATGAAAGCGGCAGGACTTTCCAGCAACGGAACGCTACGCTTCTGTATGCTCCCGTATGGCGCCGACACTAATAATCATACAAGACGTTAGCTTTTTAGTGAAGAGACACGTATATTTTTCTTCTTATAGATAATCAATTTGTAATAGTAGAAGATACAAAAGTTTTTGATACATGTATCTTTTTCTACCCAAAGTCGCTTCATGGGAATAGAACAATGCATACTTCTTTATGTAAAAAAGTTATTTTTTTAATTTAATATTCTAATTTGAAAGTTGTGAGATATTTTTCAATAGATGCATTTTTTTTCTTCGTTATTTGTCTATCGATAGGTAAAGGATAGAGGGGAAAAGTGCTTTTTATAGATCGTTTGAATTCTTTTGTGCAGCAATAGTTAGTTCATGACAGTAGAAGATAGATGGTCCTCGTTAAAAATTTTAGTTCTTTGTTAATATGAGATAAAAATTTCTTGCTTAACAAAATTCATTTTTTCTGATCGTCAATTAATAGAAATAGAGAAAAATGTACAGTTATTAAAATACATGTAATAAGTTTTTCTTCAATCAAAGACCTATTTCATCCATAGATATATTATCCACACAATAGCAAGTCTGTAGCGATAGACGAGATGACCCTCTGAATATTTTATATTTGCATGCATAGCTTTTCCGATAAGTACTCAATTCTGGACATAAGATACATATCTCGAAATCAATAAATACAATTCCTTTTACGATGAAGCAGTTAGTTCACAGCGGTTTTCGATAAATACTTCTCTAAAACGAGTCTATTTTTTATCGAATATTCCGTTATGAGAATAGAGATGCATCCAAATAGTATTTCAGTACATTTTCTCTTTTTTTAATGAGTAGTTCATTCATAAGGTAGTCAGAGATATTCCTTATTCAATATAAATTAGTTAGACGACTTTGAATCTTCACTTTTAAAAGAGCGTAGAACGGTGTCTTTACCGACTGATTTTTCGTTAATGTTGACTCAAAAATCAATGAAGTTAGGTATACATTGAATGTAAGAATAATATTCCTACTATATAATTGCTTTCTTTTTCTGTCAGTTACATAGAAATGTTTTTTAACCAGTATATTCTAAGATTAAGTTTCCACAAAATCATATTACACTTTCGATTCTATAGAAATAACAATGTTTAGAATTCTAAGATTTCACCGTAAATATAAGAAAATAAAATAACTGTTATTAAGAGTAATATCTTTCAGAATTTCTCCAAAGTATATTCTTAATTGTGAAATACTTTAAATTATCTGCTAAGTCTTTTTCTGGGATGAGGTTTTTGAATATTACGAAAATTATCTTTGGTTTGTTGACGAGATGTGTGCACATAGAAAATTTAAAGTACTCTGCAATTAAGAACATACTTTGAAGAAATTCTGAACGAGATTATCTCAAATAACAATTATATTAGTTTCTTATATTTAGGATAAAAACTTAACCTCAGAATATACTGGTTAAAAAGCATCTCTATGTAACTAAAGCAAAATAGAGAAGTGAAATCTGAAAGAATTTTTATGGAAGAATTCTATACAAACTGAAGACCAAATTGTACATACGTTTTTAAAGGTCAAATTAGTATAAAAAGTGACGCATTTGTCTGCTTGGGGATTTTTTCGTTCAAATTCATTCTTTTTGGTGCTTTTTTTTCGTAGATTTCTTCCATTCTGACATTCATATTTCTTTAACACGAACGTGTTCATGATATTATTCTTTGCTTAATAATCTATTAAATTGATTATCACGCAAAAACATCGTTCTCATGGATCAAATTCTGTTCTTTTTAAGTCGAGATAGGATCAGTATAGCCAATTGAGAAGTATTCTTGTGTAAAGAACAAGAAATGATTTCGACACTTTAGTTGCCTTTATATGTTCTTTGTCTTTCCTTTACTTCGTCTTGGACAATTTAGACATATAAACAATCGATCTATCGTCATCAACTATATCAGTTTTTTCTTTTTTTGCTATCCATAATACCAATAAGTTGTTCATATTTTGATTTCATTGCGATCATAAAATCGTAATTAGAGAATAGTTTACTAACAGTAGTTGAAATCTTCAAAGCATATCTTCGAATGAAATATTGTGGAGTGAATTTGAAAGTATGTTATGGAACTTGCGCATATGTCAGTTAGTTACTCACACATAGTTACTTCCTGTTATAATAAAATAAGCGAATCCAATAAGATTAAGAGACATCTCAATGCCTCATGATTACTTGAGAGCTAGTCACGATTATATTTTCTAATTATTTTAACTCTATTTCCACCTAACATCGATACATGCACCAGTGTACGTTTGGAATAAAGTTAAAATAGTTAGAAAATATAGTCGTGACTAGCTCTCAAGTGATTGTGAAGTACTGAGTTGTCTCTTTACCTTATAGAATTTGCTTCATTCAGAAATGAAGCATGTAAACCTGCGTTTAAAATATGAAACGAAAAGAATTTCATAAAAATCGCGCATTTTAACACCTTATGAACCCGTAAAACTACCCGTCGTCGTAAAAACTTGCTTCAAAATTATAACACGTACGTAGCACGTTAAAATGTGCAGTTTTTTTATGATTTGGAACGCGTTTATTTTTTATCCTTTTTTACGGGTTTTTTTTTATTGATTTTGTCTGACTAAGTAGTCGAGCTGCCTATGACAAATACTATAAAGTACTTATAATGCCAAATACGAGTAAATTTTTGTTCTCGCATCTTCATAACCTATTCGACAGAGTACGAAAAGTTGAACAGAGCTATATTATATTTTTAAATCAATTTGGGCCATGTTTTAAAGAGCAAAAAAAACTAAAGACCTGAAAGATATGAAAAATGGTTCGAAATAACTAAATTAACGAGTTTTAGTCAGAAATTTTCAAGTTTATTATTATTTACATTTCAGTAATTTTACGAAAGAACTATTTTATAATTCATCATGAAAGCTTGAGTTTCAAAAATTTGTTTGACATCTGTCTGTCGAATAAGATCACTCAAACACCTTTTTGTATTATCCATAGACAACGTTGCAAATTTTTCTAGGTTTTTATGTTAAGAGATAGGACTACGTGTCATATCTCATTAGAACTGCTAGATACTGATCTTCAAACATACCCTATTAATTTTTCTAGCTTTTGTTTTATCGATGAGAAAATTGTTCTTTCGATTTTTTTTGCTATTTATTATACGCTAAAATTGTGGAAAATATTCATAATAGGAGTCATATATCTTCTAGCAAAGAAAAAAAGTTCGGATTATATTATGGTTGTATGTCTTCTTAGATATATATTTTTTGAAAATTTTCTCTGTAGTCCTCCAGCGAGATGATTTGGATGGAAAACATTTTTGATTAAAAGATATCCGATTCGTTGTACTTTTTTAAGCCGATTTTGACTATTTTGTCTGGTTTTTATACCATAAAAAAATTAAGGTAACACTAAACATGTGCATCTTTTTTTTTTTCATGATTTTAGCATATAAGTAAGAAAAAATCGAAAGAATGCGAATTTCTCAAGGATAAAATAGAAGACAGACATATGTCGAACAACATTTCCATTTTAAACTCATTAAAATAACATTTTTTAATTCCGATTTTAATGTTGAATTAGAAAAAAATCCTTTTATAAAATTTCTAAAATGTGAGCAATAAAAAACTTGAAAGTCTCTGACTGAAACTCGTTTTTTTCTCTAAAACATGAACCAATCGCATTAGAAATAATATCACTTTGATAAACTTTTCGTGCTCTATCAAATGATATATATAGCGAGAAATGAGAAAAGAAACTCACTCGATTTTTGCATTACGTGCACCTTATCTTCCAAGAGTCTTTAGAAAGACAACGGAAGTTTGTCAGTCGATCACAGATTTATCCCCGATAATGACACATCTCTAACAGAATTGACTACTTATGTGGACATTTCAACTAATAGAATGTTCAATGTTTTGAAATCGATCGATAAGATTATTTTTTTTTATTAAGAAAAAGAAAAATATTGTATTTGACTGATACAAATATTAAATTGATCCACAAGAAAAATGTTAATTAACTATCATATATTTTCTTTTCTATTACTGATTATTACTTTGTTAAGTCATTTAGAAATTATATCAATCATTGTTTAACCATCATTGCAACCGTTAGTTGAACAATGTCTGGAATTGTCATCAAAGCAAAAGAGAGAATGTAAAAAAGATCATGGCCAATTCAACGATGTGAATATAGAAAAATAATTGCTTGAAATTCATTGATGAAAGAAATTCAATTGATTTTCTTTCTTTCTGGCAAGAACTAATTATCAGCATTCATGTTCATATGTGTAAAGTTTTGTGTATCTTGGATATCCCCAAACTACAGTAGTGAGATTTAAAAAACAAAATTACAGAATAAAACTTGATTCTAATGATCAACCTAATTAATTTCAACAACCTTAATACTATTCGAGTAGTAATATCTGCCACTCTCAATTTGATATTATGTGCCTGTTCAAGTAGTATCAGCATAAGAAAAACAAAAAATCAAATGTTATGTTATATTAAATTCTTTTGACAATTATTTTTAATCTACTTTTTATTTCCACAATATGAATATATAAGAAGATAGCATTATGCTAACATAGAAAACGCCAATTAAATAGCATGTTAAACAAACAACAACTAATAACTAAATGCATAAGAACAGAAAACGAAAAAGGACAAGATATTTTCTATCTAATCAAGTTATTATATAAATGGGTCAAGTAGGAAAAAACCAAACATAAGTTACAATGAAGAGAGTTTGTTCATGGGTATAATGTTGAATTGCTTAAATTTTTGCTTGATTTTTAACAACATCTGTTTAATATGCTAAGTGTTGGTCCAATTGCTTCTGTGTGAATTTGAGATTTTGGATGGCCACATTCTCCGAGAACTTTGTCGACAATGGTTACAAATGCTTCTGATCCACTTACATAAACATGTGAATCTGGAGTAAGTTTGCTTCCAATTGCTGCTTTTGATATTGGATTATCTGCTGTTAATAATAAGTATTGACCATCTGAAACAGCAGCACGTAATTTATCGGCAAAAGCAGCATGATCAGCAGTGCGTACACAGTGAACTAATGTTGCTGAAGCTGATTTTCCTTCGGCATGTAAAGCTTCGACCATAGCCTTGATTGGGCCAATACCGACACCACCACCAATGAGTACATGATGTTTGGCATCTTTGACAAGTCCGAATGTACCAGAAGGGACTGAAACTAAAACTGTACTGCCAACATCACGATTGTTAATAATTTCATTTGAGACAGTAGCATTTGAAGCATTGTCAGCTTCTTGTTTCAAAACAATGCTGTATGTCTTGCCATTGGATGGTTCAGTCAAACCATAGAATCGATTATGAAACAAACCATCTTTTTCAAGACGTACTACAATATATTGTCCGGGTTGATAATCGACTAATTTTCCTCCATCGGCACGTTCGAGTGTAACGGCAACAGTTGGTCCACTTGCAATTGTGTCTTTTTTAACAATTTTGTATTCAGCATAAGCTTTATCACTATCGCCGAGTTTGGCATACATTTCCTTCTCCAAGCCAATGAAGATTGAAGAAATAACACTGTATGCAGCTTTCCATGCTTCTAATATTTCAGGTGTTGCTTGACTGCCTAAAACTTCAGCAATGGCTTCTAATAAAAATTTTCCGACGATTGGATAATGTTCGGGTTTGACCAAAAGGGCACGATGTTTATTGGCAATTTGTTGTACTTGTGGCATGAGTACCTCCAAATTATCGATATGTTCAGCAGCACAATAAAGAGTATGTGCTAATGCTAATGGTTGAGTACCTGTTGTTTGATTTGATTGATTGAAATAATTGCGAAGTTCCGGATGAGCTTCTTGTATATGTTTATAAAAAACTGATGTTATTTGTTTGCCATGTTCTTTTAAAACTGGTGCTGTTGATTTGATAACTTTCTTTTGCTCGTCAGTAAGGACCATCTTTTATTCTAGAAGAAAAAGCAGTCGTCTATATTTATCTTACTGTCAAAAAAAAAAAGCATTAATGAAATATCAGTGTACATCTGAATTTCAATGGAATATTGACTGAGTTTCTAAAATAAATATTTTTACATCAGAATATCACACACTTAAATGGCCGGATTTTTCGAAAAATATTCACGATTTCCTTCTTGTATTATTCTTCTCATGAGCTATGTCTTCTTAATCTTAACATACTCTTTCAAATGCTATATGTTTCAAGTGAAACCAAAGTTTTTCTCAACTTCATCACTTAACCTGATAACCTTCCATATGATAACTAACAAACGTTTTTGTTTCTTTTTTCCTTATAGTACTATACAGAAGACCTATCTGAACCTCGAATTAAAGATTTCTTTTATTATAGTATGAACTAAAAAAACTTTCTAACAGCATCGAAAGACAATATCAAAGCCGAAAACAGACAAACACAAAGATAAGCAAGTGGTGTGCTGGAGAAATGTCGAAAGGAAAAATATCGAAGGAAAAATATCGAAAGGAAAAATGTCGAAAGGGAAAAATATCGAAAGGGAAAAATGTCGAAGGGGAAAAATGTCGAAAGAAAAAATATAGTAGAGGAAAAATGTCGAAAAATAAATATCGAATTATTGTTGCTTTTCTTATGATTCTACTAGTTTAGATTCTAAACCAGTAGTAATGGGGATGACTAATATCTGATATAAA